ATTATCAGGATCCGGATCGGAGAGAGAGCTTTACTGTGGCCCCCCGTGTCTGGAGGGGCCCCGAGACGTGTCAAGCTTTGGTTATTAAATCTCACAAACAAACATCATAAAAACATTTATATACAAAGTATAAATATATAGAATGAAACAAAAACAGCAAAAACAGCACAGAAACAGAACGGAACCAATCGTATTTCACCGCCTTCCAGTCCGGACACCCACCCCCCCCCCCCCTTCCAGTCCGGACACTTCCCCCCCCCCCCCCTTCCAGTCCGGACACTTCCCCCCCCCCCCCCCCCCCCCCCCCCTTCCAGTCCGGACACTTCCCCCCCCTTCCAGTCCGGACACTTCCCCCCCCCCCTTCCAGTCCGGACACCCCCCCTTCCAGTCCGGACACTCCCCCCCCTTCCAGTCCGGACACTTCCCCCCCCTTCCAGTCCGGACACTTCCCCCCCCCTTCCAGTCCGGACACTCCCCCCCCCCCCTTCCAGTCCAGACACTTCCCCCCCCTTCCAATCCGGACACTTCCCCCCCCTTCCAATCCGGACACTCCCCCCCCTTCCAGTCCGGACACTTCCCCCCCCCCCTTCCAGTCCGGACGCTTTTCCCCCCTTCCAGTCCGGACACTCCCCCCCCCTTCCAGTCCGGACACTTCCCCCCCCTTCCAGTCCGGACACTTCCCCCCCCCCCTTCCAGTCCGGACACTCCCCCCCCCCTTCCAGTCCGGACACTTCCCCCCCCTTCCAGTCCGGACACTCCCCCCCCTTCCAGTCCGGACACTCCCTCCCCTTCCAGTCCGGACACTTCCCCCCCCCTTCCAGTCCGGACACTTCCCCCCCCTTCCAGTCCGGACACTCCCCCCCCTTCCAGTCCGGACACTTCCCCCCCCCCTTCCAGTCCGGACACTTTTTCAGTCCCCCCCTTCCAGTCCGGACACTTTCCCCCCCTTCCAGTCCGGATGCTTTCCCCCCCCCCCCCCTTCCAGTCCGGACACTTCCCCCCGCCTTCCAGTCCAGACACTTCCCCCCCCTTCCAGTCCGGACACTTTTCCCCCCCCCCCTTCCAGTCCGGACGCTTCCCCCCCTTCCAGTCCGGACACTTCCCCCCCCCCTTCCAGTCTGGACACTTCCCCCCCCCTTCCGGTCCGGACACTTCCCCCCCTTCCAGTCCGGACACTCCCCCCCCTTCCAGTCCGGACACTTCCCCCCCCCTTCCAGTCCGGACACTTTCACCCCCTTCCAGTCCAGACACTTTCCCCCCCCCCTTCCGGTCCGGACACTTTCCCCCCCCCTTCCGGTCCGGACACTTTCCCCCCCTTCCAGTCCAGACACTTTCCCCCCCCCCCTTCCAGTCCGGACACTTTCCCCCCCCCCGGTCCGGACACTTTCCCCCCCTTCCAGTCTGGACACTTTCTCCCCCCCCCCTTCCAGTCCAGACAGTCCGGTCCGGACACTTTCCCCCCCCCTTCCAGTCCGGACACTTCCCCCCCCCCCCTTCCAGTCTGGACACTTTCCCCCCCCCCTTCCAGTCTGGACACTCCCCCCCCCCCCCCCCTTCCAGTCCGGACACTTCCCCCCCCTCCCCCCTTCCAGTCCAGACCAATTTTCAGCTTTCAGCGCTATCACACTTTGAATGACAATTGCGCGGTCATGCAACACTGGACCCAGATGGAATTTTTTAGCATTGCTTTGAGACAGATAAAGCTTTATTTTGGTGGTATTTATTCCTCGCTGGGAGTTTTATTTTTTCTTAAACCAAAAACCACTGAAAATTTTGAAAAGTTTTTTCTTAGTTTTTGTTATAAAATTTTGTAAATAAATGATTTTTCTCCTTCACTGATGAACACTGACAGGTGGCACTGCTGGGGCTACACTGATCATCAATGCTCTGATGATCAGTGTAGATGTCCCCTCCGAGGAATGCCGATACCAGCTCTCTGCTCCTCTCCTCTGTCAGCGTGACAGCTCGAGAGGAGAGAAATGCCAATACCCGATTGTTGATCCCACGCAATGATCTCATACATGATCCCATACATTGATCCCACGCATTGATCCCACGCATTGATCCCACGCATTGATCCCACGCATTGATCCCACGCATTGATCCCACGCATTGATCCCCACGCATTGATCCCACGCATTGATCCCACGCATTGATCCCACGCACTGATCCCACGCATTGATCCCACACCACTGATCCCACGCACTGATCCCACGCATGATCCCACGCACTGATCCCACACATTGATCCCACGCATTGATCCCACGCATTGATCCCACACATTGATCCCACACACTGATCCCACGCATTGATCCCACGCACTGATCCCACGCATTGATCCCACGCATTGATCCCACACATTGATCCCACACACTGATCCCACACACTGATCCCACACATTGATCCCACACATTGATCCCACGCATTGATCCCACACATTGATCCCACACACTGATCCCACTGATCCCACACATTGATCCCACACACACTGATCCCATACATGCCGCCTTTCTCCAAAAATCTGATGTTACAAAAATCTAGGGATTGTGAAAGGACAGAAAGAGAAGCCACGCCCCCAGAGACTGACAGACAGCAGCTACAGGGACCTGACATTCCTCCACGCCTTTGTCCAGGACGCCCCCCCCCCCCCCCCCCCCCCCCGACCGCCTAAAGACCTCGAATCTACCCAACCTCACCCAGAATGTTGTGCTCCACCACCTGCGCAGGAGGAAACCTGACACCGTGAATTCCACATGTAGTAACTACTAAGCTAACTAGAAAAAGAGTCTCCAAATGGCGGCCATAGTCGGGTCAACACCAGCCGATGTTCGCACTGTTAGTAGGTTAACTGGTCGGCAGTTTTTCGGGCTTTTTGCACCTTTTTTTTATCGGGCATATCGGAAAATTTGCGGCCAATTTTTACAATCAGCCGATTTTCCCGGCAATAATGGGCAAAACGGCCGATTGTTTTCCCGATATAAAATCTGCGCATGAGCCGTGACCTGCGAGAAGAAGAAGAAGAAGAAGAAGAAGAAGAAGAAGAAGAAGAAGAAGAAGAAGACTTCCAGTCCGCTATTATATTTGATATGAAAAGTATTGCAGTTGCAACAAATCTATCCATTTGTATCCGAATAAAACCATCTGAATGGATACATTGCTGCAACCGCAATACTTTCATATCAAATATAATAGCGGACTGGAAGTCTTCTTCTTCTTATGTATTGCTCCTCTGTGTGCTCCCCTGTGTGCTCCCTCTGTGTGCTCCTCCTGTGTGCCTGTGTGCTCCTCTGTGTGCTGCCTCCTGTGTGCCCCCTTGTGTGCTCCCCTTGTGTGCTCCCCTGTGTGCCCTCCTGTGTGCTCCCCTTGTGTGCTCCCCTTGTGTGCTCCCCTGTGTGTGCCCTCCTGTGTGCTCCTGTGTGCCCTCCTGTGTGCTCCCCTTGTGTGTCCCCTGTGTGCTCCCCTTGTGTGCTCCCCCTTGTGTGCTCCCCTTGTGTGCTCCCCTGTGTGCCCTCCTGTGTGCTCCTGTGTGCCCCCCCTGTGTGCTCCCTGTTGTGTGTGCCCCCTGTGTGCCCTCCTGTGTGCTCCCCTTGTGTGCTCCCCTGTGTGCCCTCCTGTGTGCTCCCCTTGTGTGTCCTCCTGTGTGCTCCCCTTGTGTGTCCTCCTGTGTGCTTGTGTGCCCTTGTGTGCCCTCCTGTGTGCCCTTGTGTGTCCTCCTGTGTGCTCCCCTGTGTGCCCCCCTTGTGTGCCCTCCTGTGTGCTCCCCTTGTGTGCCCTCCTGTGTGCTCCCCTTGTGTGCCCTCCTGTGTGCTCCCCTTGTGTGCTCCCCTTGTGTGCCCTCCTGTGTGCTCCCCTTGTGTGCCCTTGTGTGCTCCCCTGTGTGCCCTCCTGTGTGCTCCCCTTGTGTGCTCCCCTGTGTGCCCTCCTGTGTGCTCCCCTGTGTGCTCCCCTTGTGTGCCCTCCTGTGTGCCCTCCTGTGTGCTCCCCTTGTGTGTCCTCCTGTGTGCTCCCCTGTGTGCCCTCCTGTGTGCTCCCCTTGTGTGCTCCCCTGTGTGCCCTCCTGTGTGCTCCCCTGTGTGCCCTCCTGTGTGCTCCCTTGTGTGTCCTCCTGTGTGCCCTCCTGTGTGCTCCCCTGTGTGCTCCCCTGTGTGCCCCCTGTGTGCCCTCCTGTGTGCTCCCCCTGCTCCCCTTGTGTGCCCTCCTGTGTGCTCCCCTTGTGTGCTCCCCTTGTGTGTCCTCCTGTGTGCTCCCCTTGTGTGTCCCCTTGTGTGCTCCCCTTGTGTGCCCTCCTGTGTGCCCCCCTGTGTGCTCCCCTTGTGTGCTCCCCTTGTGTGCCCCCTGTGTGTCCCCTGTGTGTCCCCTGTGTGCTCCCCTTGTGTGCTCCCCTTGTGTGCCCTCCTGCAGCATTATATTGCAGCATTGTGATTGGTATATTCACACGCGGCCTGTGATTGGACGTTCATATCCCTCAGGACAGATCCGGGATATTGCAGCATTGTGATTGTTACATTTAATGTTTGGATATTTCCTCACTTTCATTCGGTTGATTATCCCCCAATTTTGGGGGTTCGCAGTTGATCACACTAGTCTTTGTTTATTGATCCCTCTTAGGGATTTGGGGGGATTGTTGGTGTCATTTGGTTTTTCACCACACAGGGTCCAAATTGGGACCATTTTGCAGTTTCACATTTTCCGTGTCACAATTAGATCCCGATTGGATCAGATCACTTTGGATTTGTCTATTATGTCATTTTTATGATATGTGCGTTTATTTATTTATACATTTTTTAGATACGTTTTGTAGATTATACGGATTATCTTGCGGTGAGTGCCGGCAATCTGTCAGATCTACCGGGAGATTTGGAGGGATCCTCGGGGGGCGGAGTCCGCTTCCATTCTTTTTTGCTCTGAGCTCCAGATTCCGATTTTCATCCTTTATAACTTTATTGACAATCTCAGAACGCACAAAGGGGCGTGTCTGGGGGCTGACCTTGTCTGTTCTCCCTCCAGGACTCGTCCATCATGCCAGGAAAGTGATCCATCGAGGGCCGCCATCCCATTACCTGACGCGAGAGTTCATTCGGAAGAACGCCGCCAACTTCCTGTCCTTGGCCAACCTGCTGATGGGCCTGAGCTCCATCCTCTGCACCCTGAATGGGTGAGTCCCAGACATGGCCGCCGCCCACATCCGCCTAACGATTTCACTTTAATATGCAAATATCGACTTCCTCCTCTAAAGTCTGACACGCCCACTTTCCACATAGAGATACCAACTCTGTGATGGGAGTACAGCAGAGGCAGAGCTCTGGGGGCCCCTCTGCCTCTCTCAGGGCCCCTCCACCTCTCTCAGAGCCCCTTCATCTATCTCAGGACCCCTCCGCCTATCTCAAGATCCCCCCCATCTATCTCAGGATCCCCATCTATCTCAGGGCCCCTTCATCTATCTCAGGACCCCCCCTCCGCCTATCTCAGGACCCCTCCGCCTATCTCAGGGCCCCTCCACCTATCTCAGGTTCCCTCCACCTATCTCAGGGCCCCTCCACCAATCTCAAGATCCCTCCACCTATCTCAGGTTCCCTCCACCTATCTCAGGGCCCCTCCACCAATCTCAAGATCCCTCCACCCTATCTCAGGGCCCCTCCACCTATCTCAGGTTCCCTCCACCTACCTCAGGTTCCCTCCACCTACCTCAGGCCCCCCCCCCCCCCCCACCTATCTCAGGATCTCATAGGATCCCCTTGGCCTGTCTCCTGAAGATCAGATTGCAGGTTTGTCGTGATACCAGAACCTGCTATACCGGGATGACGGAGCTCTCTGATTGGCTGCTCTCTCTCTGGCAGGTACCGACAGTGGGCATGTTGGCTCCTTCTCACCGGCTTCATGTTGGATCTGGCGGATGGCGCCGTGGCTCGGCAGCTGAACACGTGCTCGGCTCTGGGTGAGTGACACCATTGGTCCGTCTGCTGGATGAACAATACTGAGACCAGAGGTTCCCGTGGCGTGATCCACGTCTACGTGACTGCGAGAGAAGGGACGCCATCCTGAGCCATGCCCCCGAGTAGAGACGCCGTCCTGAGCCACGCCCCCCGAGTAGAGACGCCGTCCTGAGCCACGCCCCCCCGAGTAGAGACGCCGTCCTGAGCCACGCCCCCGAGTAGAGACGCCGTCCTGAGCCACGCCCCTGAGTAGAAACGCCATCCTGAGCCACGCCCCCGAGAATCGTTGGAATACCCGTACCCTGACCTCTATCAGTTATCCCCCGTCTGCCTGAAGCCAGGACTGTTTGTGGTACCCGTACCCTGACCTCCATCAGTCATCCCCCGTCTGCCTGAAACCAGGACTGTCTGTGGTACCTGTACCCTGACCTCCATCAATTATCCCCCCGTCTGCCTGAAACCAGGACTGTCTGTGGTACCCGTACCCTGACCTCCATCAGTCATCCCCCATCTGCCTGAAACCAGGACTGTCTGTGGTACCCATACCCTGACCTCCATCAATTATCCCCCCGTCTGCCTGAAACCAGGACTGTCTGTGGTACCCGTACCCTGACCTCCATCAGTCATCCCCCGTCTGCCTGAAACCAGGACTGTCTGTGGTACCCGTACCCTGACCTCCATCAGTCATCCCCCGTCTGCCTGAAACCAGGACTGTCTGTGGTACCCGTACCCTGACCTCCATCAGTCATCCCCTGTCTGCCTGAAACCAGGACTGTCTGTGGTACCCGTACCCTGACCTCCATCAATTATCCCCCCGTCTGCCTGAAACCAGGACTGTCTGTGGTACCCGTACCCTGACCTCCATCAGTCATCCCCCATCTGCCTGAAACCAGGACTGTCTGTGGTACCCGTACCCTGACCTCCATCAATTATCCCCCCGTCTGCCTGAAACCAGGACTGTCTGTGGTACCCGTACCCTGACCTCCATCAGTCATCCCCCGTCTGCCTGAAACCAGGACTGTCTGTGGTACCCGTACCCTGACCTCCATCAATTATCCCCCCGTCTGCCTGAAACCAGGACTGTCTGTGGTACCCGTACCCTGACCTCCATCAGTCATCCCCCATCTGCCTGAAACCAGGACTGTCTGTGGTACCCGTACCCTGACCTCCATCAGTCATCCCCCATCTGCCTGAAACCAGGACTGTCTGTGGTACCCGTACCCTGACCTCCATCAGTCATCCCCCATCTGCCTGAAACCAGGACTGTCTGTGGTACCCGTACCCTGACCTCCATCAATTATCCCCCCGTCTGCCTGAAACCAGGACTGTCTGTGGTACCCGTACCCTGACCTCCATCAGTCATCCCCCATCTGCCTGAAACCAGGACTGTCTGTGGTACCCGTACCCTGACCTCCATCAATTATCCCCCCGTCTGCCTGAAACCAGGACTGTCTGTGGTACCCGTACCCTGACCTCCATCAATTATCCCCCCGTCTGCCTGAAACCAGGACTGTCTGTGGTACCCGTACCCTGACCTCCATCAGTTATCCCGTCTGCCACGCTTCCCCTTAGTCTGCCTGAAATGAGGACTGTCTGTGCTCCCTATAGAAAGTCCTCTTTCCCTGCAGGTGAAGAAATGTTGGATCTGGGAGCGTCCTGCAGGATCTGCTTCCTATTGGGGGGGGGGGGGGGGGGGGGGTCGCTCCATGCAGCCGGCGCCATGACGTCGGTGTGATGGGCGCTGACAGTCCCGGGCTCATGCGGGTGTTTATGTTCGGTCGCAGGGGCCAAGTTGGACGACTTTGCAGATTTCACATCATTTGGTTTGGCGACGGCTCTGCTGCTGCACAGGAAAGGGGCGATGGACGCGGCGCTGGTGATGGTGTACGTCCTCGCCGTCTTCACACGACTCTGCTTCTACCACAGCGGTAAGGAATGACGCCCGCCTAGTCACCCCACTGGGAGCGCCCGCCTAGTCACCCCACTGGGAGCGCCCGCCTAGTCACCCCACTGGGAGCGCCCCGCCTAGAGTCACCCCAATGGGAGCGCGCCCGAATATAGTCACCCCACTGGGAGCGCCCGAATATAGTCACCCCACTGGGAGCGCCCGAATATAGTCACCCCACTGGGAGCGCCCGCCTAGTCACCCCACTGGGAGCGCCCGCCTACAGTCACCCCAATGGGAGCGCCCGCCTAGAGTCACCCCACTGGGAGCGCCCGAATAGAGTCACCCCACTGGGAGCGCCCGCCTAGAGTCACCCCAATGGGAGTGCCCGAATAGTCACCCCAATGGGAGCGCCCGCCGAGAGTCACCCCAATGGGAGCGCCCGCCTAGTCACCCCACACCCCACTGGGAGCGCCCGCCCGCCTAGAGTCACCCCAATGGGAGCGCCCGCCGCCTAGAGTCACCCCACTGGGAGTGTCAAATAGAGTCCCCACTGGGAGCGCCCGCCTAGAGTCACCCCACTGGGAGCGCCCGCCTAGAGTCACCCCAATGGGAGCGCCCGCCTAGAGTCAATGGGAGCGCCCGCCTAGAGTCACCCCACTGGGAGTGTCCGCCTAGAGTCACCCCACTGGGAGCGGGACTGGGAGCGCCCGCCTAGAGTCACCCCTAGAGTCACCCCAATGGGAGCGCCCGCCTAGAGTCACCCCACTGGGGGAGCGCCCGCCTAGAGTAGAGTCACCCCACCCCATGGGAGCGCCCGCCTAGAGTCACCCCACTGGGAGCGCCCGCCTAGAGTCACCCCACTGGGAGCGCCCGCCTAGAGTCACCCCACTGGGAGCGCCCGCCTAGAGTCACCCCAATGGGAGTGCCCGCCTAGAGTCACCCCACTGGGAGTGCCCGAATAGAGTCACCCCACTGGGAGCGCCCGCCTAGAGTCACCCCACTGGGAGCTGGGAGCACCCCCGCCTAGAGTCACCCACTGGGAGCGTCACCCCCCTGGGAGCGCCCGAATAGAGTCCCCCACTGGGAGCGCCCGCCTAGTCACCCCAGGAGTGCCCGAATAGAGTCACCTCACTGGGAGCGCCCGCCTAGAGTCACCCCACTGGGAGCGCCCGCCTAGAGTCACCCCACTGGGAGCGCCCGAATAGAGTCACCCCACTGGGAGCCGCCTAGTCACCCCCGCCTAGAGTCACCCCACTGGGAGTGCCCGAATAGAGTCACCCCACTGGGAGCGCCCGAATAGAGTCACCCCACTGGGAGCGCCCGCCTAGAGTCACTGGGACCCCAGTCACCCCACTGGGAGCGCCCTAGTCACCCCACTGGGAGTGCCCGAATAGAGTCACCCCACTGGGAGCGCCCGCCTAGAGTCACCCCACTGGGAGCGCCCGAATAGAGTCACCCCACTGGGTCACCCCACTGGGAGCGCCCGAATAGAGTCACCCCACTGGGAGCACCCGCCTAGTCACCCCACTGGGAGCGCCCGCACCCCACTGGGAACACCCGAGTCACCCCACTGGGAGTGCCCGAATAGAGTCACCCCACGAATAGAGTCACCCCACTGGGAGCGCCCGAATAGAGTCACCCCACTGGGAGCGCCCGCCTAGTCACCCCACTGGGAGCGCCCGAATAGAGTCACCCCACTGGGAGTGCCCGAATAGAGTCACCCCACTGGGAGCGCCCGAATAGAGTCACCCCACTGGGAGTGGGAATAGAGTCACCCACTGGGAGCGCCCGCCTAGAGTCACCCCACTGGGAGTGCCCGAATAGAGTCACCCCACTGGGAGCGCCCGCCTAGTCACCCCACTGGGAGTGCCCGAATAGTCACCCCACTGGAGAGTGCCCAGTCACCCACTGGGAGCGCCCGAATAGAGTCACCCCACTGGGAGCGCCCGAATAGAGTCACCCCACTGGGAGCGCCCGCCTAGAGTCGAATAGACCCCACTGGGAGTGCCTGAATAGAGTCACCCCACTGGGAGCGCCCAAATAGAGTCACCCCACTGGGTCACCCCACTGGGACCCGAATAGAGTCACCCCACTGGGAGCGCCCAAATAGAGTCACCCCACTGGGAACAGAGTCACCCCACTGGGAACACCCCCTGGGCCTATAGTCACCCCACTGGGAGTGCCCGAATAGAGTCACCCCACTGGGAGCGCCCAAATAGAGTCACCCCAATGGGAGCGCCCGCCTATAGTCACCCCAATGGGAGCGCCCGCCTACAGTCACCCCAATGGGAGCGCCCGCCTACAGTCACCCCACTGGGTTGTTCATCAGTTTCAGCTGCTTTGGTGGTCATGAAACTAACAGGTGCACTAGATGGGCAACAATGAGACGACCCCCAAAACAGGTATGGTTTTACAGGTGGAGTAACTCCCTGATTTTTGAGACACAAGAGGTGACACCCCCCAAATTTCCAAGCTTCGGTCAGATTTGGGTGGGGTGCAGTGATATGGATGCCAGGCACTGAATTTGTCTTCTCCTCCCCAGGAATCCCCTTTATGTACTGCGGCCTGCCCTGTCCGTACTCCTCCGCCATCTTGTCCTGCGCCTCTCTCCTGACCAGTGGGCACCCCCTGGTACTGCGTGCCATAGCCCTCATCATGATCCTGTTTATGATCGATCAGGGGATCTACCCACATGACAAGATCCTGGAATCCCAGTGCTGGAAGAAGATGGTGTTTGCAGGAGGTGAGAGACACACGGGGGGTATGGCGGGTACAGGCAGCACCAAGGCTGGGCACTGACAGGGGTGAGACACACGGGGGGTATGGCGGGTACAGGCGGCACCAACAGGGGTGAGAGACACACGGGGGGTATGGCGGGTACAGGCGGTACCAAGGCTGGGCACTGACAGGGGTGAGAGACACACGGGGGGTATGGCGGGTACAGGGCTGGCGGGGTACCAACAGGGGTGAGAGACACACGGGGGGTATGGCGGGTACAGGCGGTACCAAGGCTAGGCACTGCCTGGGGTATGAGACACACAGGGGGTATGGCGGGTACAGGCGGTACCAAGGCTGGGCACTGACAGGGGTGAGAGACACACGGGGGGTATGGCGGGTACAGGCGGTACCAACAGGGGTGAGAGACACACGGCGGGTATGGCGGGTACAGGCGGTACCAAGGCTGGGCAGTGAAAGGGGTGAGAGACACACGGGGGGGGTATGGCGGGTACAGGCGGTACCAAGGCTAGGCACTGACAGGGGTGAGACACACAGGGGGTATGGCGGGTACAGGCGGTACCAAGGCTGGGCACTGACAGGGGTGAGAGACACACGGGGGGTATGGCGGGTACAGGCGGTACCAAGGCTGGGCACTGACAGGGGTGAGAGACACACGGGGGGTATGGCGGGTACAGGCGGCACCAAGGCTGGGCACTGACAGGGGTGAGACACGGGGGGTATGGCGGGTACAGGCGGCACCAAGGCTGGGCACTGACAGGGGTGAGACACGGGGGGTATGGCGGGTACAGGCGGCACCAAGGCTGGGCACTGACAGGGGTGAGACACACAGGGGGTATGGCGGGTACAGGCGGCACCAAGGCTGGGCACTGACAGGGGTGAGACACGGGGGGTATGGCGGGTACAGGCGGCACCAAGGCTGGGCACTGACAGGGGTGAAGGTAGGAGGTCTCAGTTCCTGGTCACAGTCAGCTGGTTGCTATGGGTTACCACATTTGCAGAGTAAATCATTGGAAGTCACAAAGCCGTCACTCAATATTTTCCACATTTTACAGCAGAAGTAAAGCAGCTTCACAAAAAGTCCAAATATTCTACAATTAGTACAATTCAGTAAAGGGTGGGGGAGGAGTTTACATCCAGGTGGGCGGGGCAGCAGAGTGGGGGAGGAGTCTACATCCAGATGGGTGTGTCAGTAGAGTGGGGGAGGAGTCTACATACAGTTGGGTGTGTCAGCAGAGGTAGGGAGGAGTTCACATACAGTTGGGTGTGGCTGAAAAGTGGGGGAGGAGTCTACATACAGTTGGGTGTGTGGGCAGAGTGGGGGAGGAGCCTACATGCAGAGGGAGGAGGAGTTTTCCTTGTAGCAGTTCTCTGACAGTTGCTGTCTCCTGGCAGGGGTGTTCATGATGCTGTGCTCCTTCTCCCCCCTGGCCTGTTTGTACCACTTGGTATGGTCCATGTCATACATCCTCTTCCCGGAGGCCTTGTGGAGCTGCGAGGTGTGATGGGCGCGCGGTGTGTGTGATGGGCGCGCTGTGTGATGGGCGCGCGGTGTGATGGGCGCGCTGTGTGTGAGCTGCGTTGGCCTTGGTTTTGCCGTGAGGACTGTGCTGTGATACAAGCAGTCTATAGAGACCTCTACCCGGACGGGCCCCGTGTCATCATCATCCTCAGGATTCAGAAGAAAGCAAAATATGGAGATCCAGAGACGCTCCCCTCCCCCCTCCTCCGAATCAGATTTCTCCGTGGCTACATTTCCTGACGTATCTCCACATTGCCCACATTTCCTGCCACGTTGGAGGAAACCAATTCACAGCAGAGGACACCTGCCGGGGCGAGGGACGGTCAGCCTTCCGGATGGTTCTTCAGGTGCCGTATGGAAGAACTCCGCCCCCGGGAATGTCCTGTGTGATCGGGAACGATGGGAATATTTTCTGCTGTAACTTTGTAAATAGGAGAGTGAAATAAAGTCGATGAGATCCGAGTGGCTGAATGGTTGAGTGTGTCCCCCCCCCCCCCCACCACCACCACCACCACCACCACATAGTTTCTCACATCCCAAGCCATCGATTCATCATAAGGCAGTGGGGGGGGAGGGGGGCTCATTGGCCATCAGTGGTAAGTGGTCAGAGGTAGGTCATCTGTGTCGTCACCTTCATGAAGAGTCAGACCCCCCCAACCCCCTTCCCCCCCGTGATCAATGTCCCTCCATCAGAAGTCTCTCTGGGCTGCAGAACATCCACCTCTGGCTGCACCCGGAGCCGCTCTCTTCTTCATACCATGAAGGCTTCTCAGTCCATTGAGGTGTCTGGTGTCAGGACGGGATCCCAGCCACATGTAGGTATTCAGCCCAATCCAGGGTGTCAGTGGCTTGGAGCGGAGTACTTCCATTGGCCTCGGTGGAGGAGTTCTGCAGCTGTTTCAGTAGTTCGGTGAAGCACGGCCGCTTTGGCGCCTCCCACTGCCAACAACTGGTCATGACATCATACCTGGAGGGAGGCAGAAGACATCAGATCACAATGAGGTCCCTCTATCCAGGTCAGTACACAAACTATGACAGAGCACCCTAGATATATATAGATGACCCCCTCCCCCCCCTCCAATGGTGGAGCTCAGGGGGCTCCAGTGACGGGTCCTAGTGATCCTCCATCATTCACAGACATTGGAGACAATTGTGCTGCTCCAGACTTGTGGTCACAGTTTCTCTTTTTTGGTGCCCAATGTGAGGCCCAACAAGCCAGGTCTTCTCTTCCACCATCAGCATGGGACCTCAGCAATGGGGACACGTTCCAGCATCTTGTGGAAAGGTCTTCCAAGAGGAATGGAGGCATAGCCACAGGGGTAAGGTGTGTGTGTGGGGGGAGGGGGGGGGGGGGGGGCACTCATCATCAATGGTCAATGTTTTGGAATGACATGTCCAACAAGATGATATAGGTGTGATGGTCGGGGGGGCCCTATAGGGTGCGACAGAACCCAGGCCGTGGTGGGTGCAGAACATGGCACCCTATTCACTGACATGAGGCGCCATGGGGTACATACCACCTAGGAGGAAGGGCTGACCCTGACCACCACACCTCCTGCATGTCCTCACTATGGCCAATGATTGTCCGTACATAAGAATCCATGGGGCCCCAACCTATTCCCGGCCTACACATACCGGATACAATGCAGGGGCCTATTTACAAAGGTCCCTCCTTCCATGGGGGCAATTCCTGCAATTCTGGTACTTAGTAGATGGATTCCTTATTGGTCCACAAGCCTTTTATCATTGTATCCATGAAGGCCAAGCTGTCCATCACAAGTCCCGTTAGGGCCCCGTTCACATGGGTGTATGATGGCGGACGCCTCGTGTTTCCTGAACAGCCATACACAGGTGTGCCATACATCCCCGTGTAGAAGTCATGTCTAGGACATACACCATATTGCCCCAAGTATTGGCCCCACCCTCCCAGTCATGTGATTCAGGTGCCCCAATCCCCTCCGTATTATGTGATTCAGGTGCCCCAATCCCCTCCGTATCATGTGATTCAGGTGTTCCAATCCCCTCCGTATTATGTGATTCAGGTGCCCCAATCCCCTCCGTATCATGTGATTCAGGTGTTTCAATCCCCTCCGTATCATGTGATTCAGGTGTTTCAATCCCCTCCGTATCATGTGATTCAGGTGTTTCAATCCCCTCCGTATCATGTGATTCAGGTGTTTCAATCCCCTCCGTATCATGTGATTCAGGTGTTCCAATCCCCTCCGTATCATGTGATTCAGGTGTTCCAATCCCCTCCGTATCATGTGATTCAGGTGTTTCAATCCCCTCCGTATCATGTGATTCAGGTGTTCCAATCCCCTCCGTATCATGTGATTCAGGTGCTCCAATCCCCTCCCAATCATGTGATTCAGGTGCCCCAATCCCCTCCATGGCCACACGGGTATACAATCAAGCCCCTAGGCATGCAGACGGCTTCTACAAACATTGGTGATAGAATGGGTCGCTCTCAGGAGCTCAGTGATCAGATTTTATTTATGTAGTTTGCATTTGTTTCCCAAAGAAAAGAATGAAAAGACCTGTCATCCCCTCCCCCCCTCATGAGGAGCATATTGGGCCTGTCCTTGTCCTCTTCTGCCCTCTAGTGGTCAGTGTGTCACTGTACAGTATAACCCCCCCATTAACCCTTCAGTCTGTGGGGATGAATGAGGTGCCGCCCCTCAGTACTCACAGTCGCTCTCCACATTGCTGAGGTTTCTTCATTCTGTAATTCCTTTTCAGAGTCTTTAGAATCTTTGCAGGATCCACGTCAGGGTAAGGCGGGGCGCCTGGGAGATACAGACATCGATTATATATATCATCCTTTGTATCCCCCGTCTGATCGATGTTTATAAACAATGTTACTTTGTATCTCTATCTCCCGTCTGATCGATGTTTATAAACAATGTTACTTTGTATCTCTCCCCCATCTGATCGATGTTTATAAACAATGTTACTTTGTATCTCTATCTCCCGTCTGATCGATGTTTATAAACAATGTTACTTTGTATCTCTATCTCCCGTCTGATCGATGTTTATAAACAATGTTACTTTGTATCTCCATCTCCCGTCTGATCGATGTTTATAAACAATGTTACTTTGTATCTCTCCATCCCCCGTCTGATCGATGTTTATAAACAATGTTACTTTGTATCTCTCCATCCCCCGTCTGATCGATGTTTATAAACAATGTTACTTTGTATCTCTCCATCCCCCGTCTGATCGATGTTTATAAACAATGTTACTTTGTATCTCTCCATCTCCCATCTGATCGATGTTTATAAACAATGTTACTTTGTATCTCTCCATCCCCCGTCTGATTGATGTTTATAAAAACAATGTTACTTTGTATCTCTCCATCTCCCATCTGATCGATGTTTATAAACAATGTTACTTTGTATCTCTCCATCTCCCGTCTGATCGATGTTTATAAACAATGTTACTTTGTATCTCCATCTCCCGTCTGATCGATGTTTATAAACAATGTTACTTTGTATCTCTATCTCCCGTCTGATCGATGTTTATAAACAATGTTACTTTGTATCTCTATCTCCCGTCTGATCGATGTTTATAAACAATGTTACTTTGTATCTCTCTATCTCCCGTCTGATCGATGTTTATAAACAATGTTACTTTGTATCTCTCTGTCTCCCGTCTGATCGATGTTTATAAACAATGTTACTTTGTATCTCTCCATCTCCCGTCTGATCGATGTTTATAAACAATGTTACTTTGTGTCTCTATCTCCCGTCTGATCGATGTTTATAAACAATGTTACTTTGTATCTCTCTATCTCCCGTCTGATCGATGTTTATAAACAATGTTACTTTGTGTCTCTCCCCCATCTGATCGATGTTTATAAACAATGTTACTTTGTATCTCTCCCCCATCTGATCGATGTTTATAAACAATGTTACTTTGTATCTCTCCCCCATCTGATCGATGTTTATAAACAATGTTACTTTGTATCTCTATCTCCCGTCTGATCGATGTTTATAAACAATGTTACTTTGTATCTCTATCTCCCGTCTGATCGATGTTTATAAACAATGTTACTTTGTATCTCTCCATCTCCTGTCTGATCGATGTTTATAAACAATGTTACTTTGTATCTCTCCATCCCCCGTCTGATCGATGTTTATAAACAATGTTACTTTGTATCTCTCCATCCCCCGTCTGATCGATGTTTATAAACAATGTTACTTTGTATCTCTCCATCCCCCGTCTGATCGATGTTTATAAACAATGTTACTTTGTATCTCTATCTCCCGTCTGATCGATGTTTATAAACAATGTTACTTTGTATCTCTCCATCCCCCGTCTGATCGATGTTTTATAAACAATGTTACTTTGTATCTCTCCATCCCCCGTCTGATCGATGTTTATAAACAATGTTACTTTGTATCTCTCCATCTCCCATCTGATCGATGTTTATAAACAATGTTACTTTGTATCTCTCCATCCCCCGTCTGATCGATGTTTATAAACAATGTTACTTTGTATCTCTCCATCTCCCATCTGATCGATGTTTTATAAACAATGTTACTTTGTATCTCTCCATCTCCCGTCTGATCGATGTTTATAAACAATGTTACTTTGTATCTCTATCTCCCGTCTGATCGATGTTTATAAACAATGTTACTTTGTATCTCTCCATCTCCCGTCTGATCGATGTTTATAAACAATGTTACTTTGTGTCTCTATCTCCCGTCTGATCGATGTTTATAAACAATGTTACTTTGTATCTCTCTATCTCCCGTCTGATCGATGTTTATAAACAATGTTACTTTGTGTCTCTATCTCCCGTCTGATCGATGTTTATAAACAATGTTACTTTGTATCTCTATCTCCCGTCTGATCGATGTTTATAAACAATGTTACTTTGTATCTCTCTATCTCCCGTCTGATCGATGTTTATAAACAATGTTACTTTGTATCTCTCTATCTCCCGTCTGATCGATGTTTATAAACAATGTTACTTTGTATCTCTCTATCTCCCGTCTGATCGATGTTTATAAACAATGTTACTTTGTATCTCTATCTCCCGTCTGATCGATGTTTATAAACAATGTTACTTTGTATCTCTCCATCTCCCGTCTGATCGATGTTTATAAACAATGTTACTTTGTATCTCTATCTCCCGTCTGATCGATGTTTATAAACAATGTTACTTTGTATCTCTCTATCTCCCGTCTGATCGATGTTTATAAACAATGTTACTTTGTATCTCTATCTCCCGTCTGATCGATGTTTATAAACAATGTTACTTTGTATCTCTCCATCTCCCGTCTGATCGATGTTTATAAACAATGTTACTTTATGATATTATTTTTCCTGGCTGTGCTCACTGGGGAGATTTCCCTTCACTTCCTGTCGTAGAGACACCACAGGAAATCCTCTATTGCACAGTTGTCTCCATCTATAATCTGCTGTATATATACTGGGATCATGTGACCTACCAATACGCCGTACACACCCTGACTCCGCCCTTACCTAGAGTCACCATCTCATACAGTAAGATGCCGAACGACCACCTGAAGGGAGAGAAGGAGAAGGTGAGAGATTGTCGGGCTCGGCCTCCCCATACATGACCCCCCTCCGGCCTCCCCCCCCCTCCGGCCTCCCCATACATGACCCCTCCTCCGGCCTCCCCATACATGACCCCCTCCTCCCTACGACCCCCCATCCCCACGACCCCCCCATACATGACCCCTCCTCCGGCCTCCCCATACACGACCCCCCCTCCGGGCCTCCCCATACACGACCCCCCCTCCGGCCTCCCCATACACGACCCCCCCCTCCGGGCCTCCCCACACACGACCCCCCCTCCGGGCCTCCCCACACACGACCCCCTCCTCCGGGCCTCCCCACACACGACGCCCCCTCCGGCCTCCCACACACGACCCCTCCACCGGGCCTCCCCACACACGACCCCTCCACCGGCCTCCCCACACACGACGCCCCCTCCGGCCTCCGGCCCCCACACACGACCCCTCCTCCTCCCCTCCCCCCCACACGACCCCCCCTCCGGGCCTCCCCACACACGACCCCCCCCTCCGGGCCTCCCCACACACGACCCCCCCTCCGGGCCTCCCCACACGACCCCCCCCTCCGGGCCTCCCCACACACGACCCCCCCCTCCGGCCTCCCCACACACGACCCCTCCTCCGGCCTCCCCATACACGACCCCCCCTCCGGGCCTCCCCATACACGACCCCCCCTCCTCCCTCCCCATACACGACCCCCTCTCCGGCCTCCCCATACACGCCTCCCCATACACGACCCCTCCTCCGGCCTCCCCATACACGACCCCTCCTCCGGCCTCCCCATACACGACCCCTCCTCCGGCTCCGGCCTCCCCATACACGACCCCTCCTCCGGCCTCCCCATACATGACCCCCTCCGGCCTCCCCATACACGACCCCTCCTCCTCCCTCCCCATACACGACCCCTCCTCCCTCCCCATACACGACCCCTCCTCCCTCCCCATACACGACCCCTCCTCCGGCCTCCCCATACATGACCCCCGAACACACATACTTACACGTCGCTCTTCTCGGTGACACTCGGCTCTCTCAGCCGTTCTGGCGATTGCCATTTTCCAGGAACGCGGGCGGCTCTCCTGGCCGGGATGGATCCGGTCCGGTGCTGTATACTGGCCAGGCCCAGTCCACACAGCCGGACGCTCAGATCCTCGTGGATGAGGACGTTACATGCTGCCACGTACCCGTGTACCAGACTGTGCGTCACGGACAGATATTCCTGGAAGAGAAATGGGGGTGATCACATGGGGGGGAGGGGCTCTGACGTTTATTCACATTTCCCGTATTTCAGAGGTTTCTCAGAGGACTCTGAGAACACGCCCCTTCTCCCGTCTGAAATAAGAACTGGCTGTGTTTCCTCCAGCAACCAATCAGCTTCCCCCTTGTCCTGGTTAGCATATGGAGGAATCTCATTGGCTAACAGAGGCAACACAGACAGTTCTTCTTTCGCAGCGTCCAATCCCTGAGCCAGCCACGATATGGGCGGTAAGATGGTAGTGACAAGTGTGACATCACTGGAGGAGGGATGTGATGTCATCAGTGACATGTGACCACCAGTAGACCCCTCCCGGTCCTCCTCTGTATATAGAGGACCCCTCCTCCGGGAACTGGACAGGAACTGTCAGGACTGAGAGGATTGTGCCAAGGACCGTCATTCTGGGGGGGTCCCTTACCAGTCCGCTCGCCACCTGTGAGGCCATGGAGAAGACATCTTGTTCGGTGATGCTGCAGACGGCGGCCATGTCCCCCTGTGAGAAAGAGATGCATTATGGGAGAAGAGACGAGTGCGGAGTCCGGCGAATCGGTCACATATCAAGATGTGGGGGGGGGCCGCTATGGATCATCGGGGGCCATACAGGACCTCTTCAGGCTCTGATAACCCGAAGTCACCCCCATTTCTGTAGAGACTATATGTGGGGGGGGGTCTATATATACTACATGAGGACTTGGAGGTCCTGTATATGTGGGGGGGGGGTCTATATATACTACATGAGGACTTGGAGGTCCTTATATGTGTGGGGGGGTCTATATATAAAATATATGACAACTGGGAGGTCCTGTATATGTGGGGGGGGGGGGTCTATATATATATACTATATGAGGACTGGTGAGGATCTGTATATGTGGGGGGGGGGTCTATATATATACTATATGAGGACTGGTGAGGATCTGTATATGTGGGGGGGGTCTATATATACTATATGAGGACTGGGAGACCCTGTATATGGGGGGGGGGGGTCTATATATATACTATATGAGGACTGGTGAGGATCTGTATATGTGGGGGGGGGTCTATATATACTATATGAGGACTGGGAGGATCTGTATATGTGGGGGGGGGTCTATATATATATATACTATATGAGGACAGTGAGGATCTGTATATGTGGGGGGGGGGGGGTCTATATATACTATATGAGGACTGGTGAGGATCTGTATATGTGTGGGGGGGGGTCTATATATACTATATGAGGACTGGTGAGGATCTGTATATGTGGGGGGGGGGGGGGGTCTATATATACTATATGAGTACTGGGAGACCCTGTATATGTGGGGGGGGTCTATATATACTATATGAGGACTGGTGAGGATCTGTATATGTGGGGGGGGTCTATATATACTATATGGGGACTGGGAGGATCTGTATATGTGGGGGGGGGGGGTCTATATATACTATATGGGGACTGGGAGGACCCTGTATATGTGGGGGGGGGGTCTATATATACTATATGAGGACGGGGGAGACCCTGTATATGTGTGGGGGGGGGTCTATATATACTATATGAGGACTGGGAGGATCTGTATATGTGGGGGGGGGGGTCTATATATACTATATGGGGACTGGGAGGATCTGTATATGTGGGGGGGGGTCTATATATACTACATAGGGACTGGGAGGATCTGTATATGTGGGGGGGGGGGTCTATATATACTATATGGGGACTGGGAGGATCTGTATATGTGGGGGGGGGTCTATATATACTATATGAGGACTGGTGAGGATCTGTATATGTGGGGGGGGGGGGGTCTATATATACTATATGAGGACTGGGAGGATCTGTATATGTGGGGGGTCTATATATATACTACATGGGGACTGGGAGGATCTGTATATGTGGGGGGGGGGTCTATATATACTATATGAGGACTGGGAGGATCTGTATATGTGGGGGGGGGTCTATATATACTACATGGGGACTGGGAGACCCTGTATATGTGGGGGGGGGTCTATATATACTATATGAGGACTGGGAGGATCTGTATATGTGGGGGGGGGGTCTATATATACTATATGAGGACTGGGAGGATCTGTATATGTGGGGGGGGGTCTATATATATACTATATGAGGACTGGGAGGATCTGTATATGTGGGGGGGGGGGTCTATATATACTATATGAGGACTGGGAGGATCTGTATATGTGGGGGGGGGTCTATATATACTATATGAGGACTGGGAGGATCTGTATATGTGGGGGGGGGGGTCTATATATACTATATGGGGACTGGGAGGATCTGTATATGTGGGGGGGGGTCTATATATATACTATATGGGGACTGGGAGGATCTGTATATGTGGGGGGGGGTCTATATATACTATATGGGGACTGGGAGGATCTGTATATGTGGGGGGGGGGTCTATATATACTATATGGGGACTGGGAGGATCTGTATATGTGGGGGGGGGGGTCTATATATACTATATGGGGACTGGGAGGATCTGTATATGTGGGGGGGGGGGGGTCTATATATACTATATGAGGACTGGGAGGATCTGTATATGTGGGGGGGGGTCTATATATACTATATGGGGACTGGTGAGGATCTGTATATGTGGGGGGGGGTCTATATATACTATATGGGGACTGGGAGGATCTGTATATGTGGGGGGGGTCTATATATACTATATGGGGACTGGGAGGATCTGTATATGTGGGGGGGGGGTCTATATATACTATATGGGGACTGGGGGATCTGTATATGTGGGGGGGGTCTATATATATACTATATGAGGACTGGGAGGATCTGTATATGTGGGGGGGGGGGTCTATATATACTATATGAGGACTGGGAGGATCCTGTATATGTGGGGGGGGGTCTATATATATACTATATGAGGACTGGTGAGGATCTGTATATGTGGGGGGGGTCTATATATATGAGGACTGGGAGATTCCTGTTATATGTGGGGGGGGGTCTATATATACTATATGAGGACTGGTGAGGATCTGTATATGTGGGGGGGGTCTTGTATATATATATGGGACAGTGGGAGATCTGTATGTATATGTGGGGGGGGTCTCTATACTATACTATATGAGGACTGGGAGGATCTGTATATGTGGGTGGGGGGGGGGGTCATCTATATATACTATATGAGGACTGGGAGGATCTGTATATGTGGGGGGGGTCTATATATACTATATGAGGACTGGTGAGGATCATATATGTGGGGGGGGGGTCTATATATACTATATGGGGACTATGGGAGGATCTGTATCATGGGGGGGGGGGGGGTCTATATATACTATATGAGGACATGGTGAGGAATCTGTATATGTGGGGGGGGTTCTATATATATACTATATGAGGACTGGTGAGGATCTGTATATGTGGGGGGGGGGGGTCTATCCAATATATACTATATGAGGACTGGTGAGGATCCTGTGGGACATATATGTGGGGGGGGGTCTATATATACTTGTATATGAGGACTGGGAGATCCCAGTCTGTGTGGAATGGGGGGGGGGGGTCTATATATACTATATGAGTGAGGACTGGTGAGGATCTGTATATCCGTATGGGGGGGGGGGTCTATATAATACTATATGAGGACTGGAGGATCTTGTATATGTGGGGGGGGGGTTCATATATAACTATATGAGGAGACTGGGAGGATCTGTATATGTGGGTGGGGGTCTATATATACTATCATGAGGACTGGTGAGGATCTGTATATGCGGGGGGGGGTCTATATATACTATATGAGGACATGGAGACCCTGTGATATGAGGGGGGGGGGGTCTATATCACCCATATGTGACTGGGAGGACCCTGTAATGTGGGGGGGGGGTCAACCTATACTCATAATGGGGACTGTGAGGATCTGTATAATGGGGGGGGACATCTATATAACCTATACTATCCACCCAGGACTGTGACATCATTCCTGTACCTGTGGGGGGGTCCAATATGTACATTATCCAGGACTGGGAGACCCTGTATCAGTACCTATGTGGGGGGGGGGTCATATACCAATCCTGTGGATCATCCATATGTGGGTGGGTTGGGTCAATATATTGACTATCCAACTGGAGTGATCCTGTATATGTGGACATCTAATCTATACGTATATATCCACTTGGGAGGATCCTGTATATGTGTGGGGGTCTATATATATACTATATGAGGACTGGACATCCTGTATATGTGGGGGGGTATATATACTCCATATGGGGACTGGGACATCCATCCAACCTGTGTCTATATATACTATATGGGGACTGGGACATCTGTATACCTGTGGGGGGGTCTATATATACTATATGAGGACTATCATCCAGAACCTTGTATATGTGGGGGGGTCTATATATACTATAAGGACTGGGACATATCATCCATCTGTGATCCCCAACCTGGGACTATCATTAACCTGGAGTCATCCAATCTGTGACATCACCTCATGTGACATCCCATCCAACAGTCAGATCATCCGAGTGTCATGGCCTCCATGACTGGGACCATCATTCTCCCTGACACCACAACATCCGCACCAGACCCTGTGACAGACTATGTATAGAACTTCCAGGAGGTCGATGAAGTCCTGGACTCCCCGGGACCGCACTTTCAATCTGGAGGGACATTCATCCCCATCGCAGGTCAGAGAAATGACAGCATCATGGGGAGAGACATCATCCCAACCTGTGACATCATCCAACCTGTGGACATCATCCCAACCTGTGACATCATCTCAAATGGACCTTGTTGACAATCACCCAACCTGTGACATCTTCCAACCTGTGACATTCACCCAACCCTGTGACATCCCCAACCCTGTGACATCACCCCAACCTGTGACATCACCCAACCTGTGACATCACCCAACCTGTGACATCATCCAAACCTGTGACATCACCCAATCTGTGACATCATCCCAACCGGTGACATCACCCAACCCGTGACATCACCACAATCCTCTCCCCGTGACATGGGTGTCACCTCATCATCCAACCTGATGACATCATCCAACCTGTGACTCTCCCCGTATCCCAACCTGTGACATCACCCAATCCTGTGAACATCTGCACCCCGTATTATGGGGTGACATCATCCAATCTGTGACATCATCCCAACCCGTGACATCTCCCCGTACCTGTGGACATCATCCACCTGTGACATCATCCCACCTTGACATCCTCCCAATCTGTGACATCATCCGTATATGTGACATCATCCAATCTGTGACATCACCCAACCTGTTTTTGACGTCATCCAACCTGTGACATCACCCAAACTGTGACATCATCCAACCCCTCACATCACCCAACCTGTGACATTCACCCAACCTGTGACATCACCCAACCTGTGACATCTCCCGTCTTCTGTGACGTATCATCCAACCTGTGACATCATCCAACCTGTGACATCATCCATCCTGTCCCCGTCATCATCCAACCTGTGACATCATACAATCTGTATCATCCAACCTGTGACATCACCCAACCTGTGACATCATCCGTATATATTGGGGTATATCATCCAATCTGTGACATCATTGTATCTTTGTATCATCTCCCCGTATATGGGACATCACCCATACACTGTGATCTCCCCACTTACCAGGACAATTCCTTCAGGATGACGTCACACCTGTACAATCTGATCACATCCCGTGAACTGCCCCAACTGATTGGACCAAAGTGTCCCGTTACAGGGGCCCTGTCCTACCATCCATCCAATCCCGTGGTTAGCTGCTTCGTTCTCCAGCAACGTATATCCAGGGGGTCACCTCCGAGTGGGATCCTCAAAGACCTCCCGCCCTGTTCACCCAATGGGGTGCATCATCGATCATCTGTAGGATCCGATAATGACAAAATAATCCGTGATTGTGCTGGATGACCGTTATTGTACATCACCCAACCTGACACACGGTCCCGTACCTCCGTCCTCTCCCCGTATATGGGGTCACCTCATACAATCTGATCACATCCCGTACCTCCCGTCCTCTCCCCGTATATGGGGGTCACCTCATACAATCTGATCACATCCCGTACCTCCCGTCCTCTCCCCGTATATGGGGTCACCTCATACAATCTGATCACATCCCGTACCTCCCCGTCCTCTCCCCGTATATGGGTCACCTCATACAATCTGATCACATCCCACCTCCCGTCCTCTCCCGTATATGGGGTCACCTCATCCAATCTGATCTTTCACATCCCGTACCTCCCCGTCCTCTCCCCGTATATGGGGGTCACCTCATACAATCTGATCACATCCCGTACCTCCCGTCCTCTCCCGTATATGGGGTCACCTCATACAATCTGATCACATCCCGTACCTCCCGTCCTCTCCCCGTATATGGGGTCACCTGTCATACAATCTGATCACATCCCGTACCTCCCGTCCTCTCCCCGTATATGGGGTCACTCATACAATCTGATCTATCACATCCCGTACCTCCCGTCCGAATTCTCCCCGTATATGGGGTCTCTCATACAATCTGATCAGAAACGATCCCGTACCTCCCGTCTTCTCCCCGTATATGGGGTCACCTCATACAATCTGATCACATCCCGTACCTCCCGTCCTCTCCCCGTATATGGGGTCACCTCATACAATCTGATCTATCACATCCCGTACCTCCGTCCTCTCCCCGTATATGGGGTCACCTCATACAATCTGATCACATCCGTACCTCCCGTCCTCTCCCCGTATATGGGGTCACCTCATACAATCTGATCACATCCCGTACCTCCCGTCCTCTCCCCGTATATGGGGTCACCTCATACAATCTGATCACATCCCGTACCTCCCGTCCTCTCCCCGTATATGGGGTCACCTCATACAATCTGATCACATCCCGTACCTCCCGTCCTCTCCCCGTATATGGGGTCACCTCATACAATCTGATCACATCCCGTACCTCCCGTCCTCTCCCCGTATATGGGGTCACCTCATACAATCTGATCACATCCCCGTACCTCCCGTCCTCTCCCCGTATATGGGGTCACCTCATACAATCTGATTCACATCCCGTATCCTCCCGTCCTCTCCCCGTATATGGGGTCACCTCATACAATATCTGATCACATCCCGTACCTCCCGTCCTCTCCCCGTATAAGGGGTCACCTCATACAATCTGATCTACATCCCGTACCTCCCGTCCTCTCCCCGTATATGGGGTCACCTCATACAATCTGATCACATCCCGTACCTCCCGTCCTCTCCCCGTATATGGGGTCACCTCATACAATCTTGATCACATCCCGTACCTCCCGTCCTCTCCCCGTATATGGGGTCACCTCATACAATCTGATCACATCCCGTACCTCCCGTCCTCTCCCCGTATATGGGGTCACCTCATACAATCTGATCACATCCCGTACCTCCCGTCCTCTCCCCGTATATGGGGTCACCTCATACAATCTGATCACATCCCGTACCTCCCGTCCTTCTCCCCGTATATGGGGTCACCTCATACAATCTGATCACATCCCGTACCTTCCCGTCCTCTCCCCGTATATGGGGTCACCTCATACAATCTGATCACATCCCGTACCTCCCGTCCTCTCCCCGTATATGGGGTCACCTCATACAATCTGATCATCACATCCCGTACCTCCCGTCCTCTCCCCGTATATGGGGTCACCTCATACAATCTGATCACATCCCGTACCTCCCGTCCTCTCCCCGTATATGGGGTCACCTCATACAATCTGATCTACATCCCGTACCTCCCGTCCTCTCCCCGTATATGGGGTCACCTCATACAATCTGATCACATCCCGTACCTCCCGTCCTCTCCCCGTATATGGGGTCACCTCATACAATCTGATCACATCCCGTACCTCCCGTCCTCTCCCCGTATATGGGGTCACCTCATACAATCTGATCTATACATCCCGTACCTCCCGTCCTCTCTCCCCGTATATGGGGTCACCTCATACAATCTGATCACATCCCGTACCTCCCGTCCTCTCCCCGTATATGGGGTCACCTCATACAATCTGATCACATCCCGTACCTCCCGTCCTCTCCCCGTATATGGGGTCACCTCATACAATCTGATCACATCCCGTACCTCTCCGTCCTCTCCCCGTATATGGGGTCACCTCATACAATCTGATCACATCCCGTACCTCCCGTCCTCCTCTCCCCGTATATGGGGTCACCTCATACAATCTGATCACATCCCGTACCTCCCGTCCTCTCCCCGTATATGGGGTCACCTCATACAATCTGATCTATCACATCCGTACCTCCCGTCCTCTCCCCGTATATGGGGTCACCTCATACAATCTGATCACATCCCGTACCTCCCGTCTTCTCCCCCGTATATGGGGTCACCTCATACAATCTGATCACACGTACCATCCCGTTACTCCCGTCCTCTCCCCGTATATGGGGTCACCTCATACAATCTGATCACATCCCGTACCTCCCGTCCTCATCCCGTATATATGGGGTCACCTCATACAATCTGATCACATCCCGTACCTCCCGTCCTCTCCCCGTATATGGGGTCATACCTCATACAATCTGATCTATCACATCCCGTACCTCCCGTCCTATCCCCGTATATGGGGTCACCTCATACAATCTGATCACATCCCGTACCTCCCGTCTTCTCCCCGTATATGGGGTCACCTCATAACATCTGATCACATCCCGTACCTCCCGTCCTCTCCCCGTATATGGGGGGTCACCCATACAATCTGATCACAATCCCGTACCTCCCGTCCTTCTCCCCGTATATGGGGTCACCTCATACAATCTGATCACCATCCCGTACCTCCCGTCCTCTCCCCGTATATGGGGTCACCTCATACAATCTGATCACATCCCGTACCTCCCGTCCTCTCCCCCGTATATGGGGTCACCCATACAATCTGATCACATCCCGTACCTCCCGTCCTCTCCCCGTATATGGGGTCAACCTCATACAATCTGATCACATCCCGTACCTCCCGTCCTCTCCCAGTATATGGGGGTCACCTCATCCAATCTGATCTATCACATCCCCGTACCTAGTCCTCGATCCCCGTATATGGGGTCACCTCATACAATCTGATCACATCCGTACCTGATGATGACCGTCTTCTCCCCGTAATGGGGTCACCTCATACAATCTGATCTATCACATCCCGTACCTCCCGTGGATTGCCCTCTGGGCTGTATATGGGGGGTCACCTCATACAATCTGATCACAGGGGGGGGGGGGTCCCGTACCTCCCGTCCTCTCGAACCGTATAAGGGGGGGGGTCACCTCATACAATCTGATCACATCCCGTACCTCCCGTCCTCTCCCCGTATAAGGGGTCACCTGATACAATCTGGACCGGATCAAGGGGGGGGGGTACCTCCCGTCCTCTCCCGGAAGGGGGGGGGTCGTAGTGTCCGACGGAAGGGGGGGGGGATCTATCACGACCGTAAGGGGGTGTAGGGGTGCCGGACTGGATATGGGTCACCTCAGGAGTACACGGGACGGAATCACATCCCGTACCTCCCGTTTCTCCCCGTATTACGGGGGTCACCTCATACAATCTGATCACTGGTTCCCGTACCTCCCCGGAAGGGTCCTGTCCATCCACTCTGTCCGGACACGGCAGGATGGGTTTCCATAGGATGATGATGACTGGCCATTCAGGGGCGGGGTGTGGTAGGCTGACAGCAGTGTGGGGATGATGATGGAGTCCGAATTCTGGAATGGGGGATCTCATCTGCAACAGAGAAGCGGGGATGAAGGAGTGTCCCCGACAGGGGAAACACGTGGATCTAGCCAGTGGCTAAGTGTGGGGGCTGCGATGTTGGGGGAGTGTGACCGGATGGAGGGGGGGGGGAGAAGTGTCCGGACTGGAAGGGGGGGGGGGGGGGGGGGGAAGTGTCCGGACTGGAAGGGGGGGGGGTCCGGACTGGGAAAGTGTCCGGACTGGAAGGGGGGGGGAAAGTGTCCGGACTGGAAAGGGGGGGGGAAGTGTCCGGACTGGAAGGGGGGGGAAGGTGTCCGGACCTGGAAGGGGGGGGGGGGGGGGGGGGGGGGAAAAGTGTCCGGACCGGAAGCAGGGGGGGAGTGTCCGGACTGGAAGGGGGGGGAGTGTCCGGAAACTGGGGGGGGGAAGTGTCCGGACCGGAAGGGGGGGGGGGGAAGTGTCCGGACCGGAAGGGGGGGGGGGAGTGTCCGGACGGAAGGGGGGGGGGGGGGGGGGAAGTGTCCGGACTGGAAGGGGGGGGGAAGTGTCCGGACCGGATAGCGGAAGGGGGGGGGGAGTGTCCGGGACCGGAAGGGGGGGGGAAGTGTCCGGGGACTGGAACCAGGGGGGGGGGGGGGGGGGGAGTGTCCGGACTGGAAGGGGGGGGGGGAGTGTCCGGACTGGAAGGGGGGGGGGGGGGGAGTGTCCGGACTGAGAAGGGGGGGGGACGGACAGGAAGGGGGGGAAGTGTCCGGACCGGAAGGGGGGGGGGGGGGAGTGTCCGGACTGGAAGGGGGGGGACCGGACTGGAAGGGGGGGGGAGTGTCCGGACCGGAAGGGGGGGGGGATGTGTCCGGACTGGAAGGGGGGGGGGAGTGTCCGAACCAGAAGGGGGGGGGAGTGTCCGGACCGGAAGGGGGGGTTGAAAGTGTCCGGACTTGGAAGGGGGGGGGGGGAAGTGTCCGGTGACCGGAAGGGGGGGGGAAGTGTCCGGGACCGGAAGGGGGGGGGGGGAAGGGGGTGTTCCGGACTGGAAGGGGGGGGAAGTGTCCGGACCGGAAGGGGGGGGTGGGGGAAGGGGAGTGTCCGGGACCGGAAGGGGGGGGAAGTGTGTCCGAACCAGGAAGGGGGGGGGGGGAGTGTCCGGACTGGAGAAAAGGGGGGGGGGAGTGTCCGGACGGAAGGGGGGGGGGGGGGGAGTGGTCCGGACGGAAGGGGGGGGAAGTGTCCCGGACCGGAAAGGGGGGGGGGGAGGGAGTGTCCGGACCGGAAGGGGGGGGGGGAGTGTCCGGACCGGAAGGCGGGGGGGAGTGTCCGACCAGAAGGGGGGGGGGGGAGTGTCCGAACTGGAAGGGGGGGGGGAGTGTCCAGACCGGAAGGGGGGGGGGGAGTGTCCCGGACCGGGGGGGGGGGGGGGGGAGTGTCCGAACCTGGAAGGGGGGGGGAGTGTCCGGACTGGAAGGGGGGGGTGAAAGTGTCCGGACCGGAAGGGGGGGGAGTGTCCGAACCAGAAGGAGGGGGGGAGTGTCCGAAACTGGAAGGGGGGGGGAGTGTCCGGACTGGAAGGGGGGGTTGGGAAAGTGTCCGGACTGGAAGGGGGGGGGGAGTGTCAGTGGACCGACGGAAGGGGGGGGGGGAATACGAGTGTCCGGACGGAAGGGGGGGAAGGGTCCGGACTGGAAGGGGGGGGGGTCCGGGGGGGGGGCGAGTGTCCGGACCGGAAGGGGGGGAAAGGGGAAGGGCCGGACTGGAAGGGGGGGAAGTGTCTGGACCGGAAGGGGGGGTGTGTCCGGACTGGGGGGGGGTGGGGGGAAGGGGGGTGTTGTCCGGACCGGAAGGGGGGGGAGTGTCCGGACCGGAAGGGGGGGGGAGGGAAAGTGTCGGACCGGAAGGGGGGAGAAAGTGTCCGGACTGGAAGGGGGGGGGGGGGGAAGGGGGGGAGTGTCCGGACTGGAAGGGGGGGGGGATAGTGTCTGGACTGGAAGGGGGGGGGGAGTGTCCGGACTGGGGACGGGGGGGGAGTGTCCGGACTGGAAGGGGGGGGGATGGGAGGTGTCCGGACCTGGAAGGGGGGGGGAGGATTGTCCAGACTGGAGGGGGGGGGGGAGTGTCCGGACTGGAAGGGGGGGGGGGAGTGTCCCCGGACTGGGAAGGGGGGGGGATTGTCCGGACTGGAAGGGGGGGGGTGTCCGGTGTCAGGACCTGGAAGGGGGGGGAGTGTCTGGGACTGGAAGGGGGGGGGAGTGTCCGGACTGGGGGGGGGGGGGAGTGTCCGGGGACTGGAAGGGGGGGGGGGGAGTGTCCGGACTGGAAGGGGGGGGGGGAGTGTCCAGACTGGAAGGGGGGGGAGTGGGGGGGGGGAGTGTCCGGACTGGAAGGGGGGGGGGAGTGTCCGGACTGGAAGGGGGGGGGAGTGTCCCGGACTGGAAGGGGGGGGGAGTGTCCGGACTGGAAGGGGGGGGGAGTGTCCGGACTGGAAGGGGGGGGGGAGTGTCCGGACTGGATGGGGGGGGGGGGGGGGAGTGTCCGGACTGGAAGGGGGTGGGAGTGTCCGGACTGGAAGGGGGGGGGAGTGTCCGGACTGGAAGGGGGGGGGAGTGTCCGGACTGGAAGGGGGGGGGAGTGTCCGGACTGGAAGAAGGGGGGGGGGGGGAGTGTCCGGACTGGAAGGGGGGGGGAGTGTCCGGGACTGGAAGGGGGGGAGTGTCATTAGTTGACATTCGTGATTAGATGGTTTCCAGGAGGCCGGACGTTTGGCTCCTCCCACAGTTTTCTAACCGTTTGGAAAAGTTGAGTTGATTCAATCTTCTATTAATCCTCATTGGAGGAATTTCTTTTCATTGTCTGTCATTGGCCAGTTGGTATCCCTATATCAGACTCTCAGGGCGGGGACCCTGGTGGGAGGGGCTTGTTGCTACTCTCGTCTCTGATGGTGTATAGAGGGGGAGGGGTCTGTTCACTATTCCCATCGTTGGCGCTCCATTGTTCTCTATCTCCATCCAAACGACCAAAACGTCGTCAATGTATCTCAGCCGTGTCATACATGTGAGGAGGTGATGTATGTAGCGGGTCGTCCTCCCATAGTCCTAGATGGAGACCGGCATATGCCGGGGCCCCCCGGTGCTCCCATTGATGGGCCACACATTTGCTGGTAAAAGGCACCCAAGAATTGTAACTCTGATTTTTATAAGATGATTGAATTCTGATCCCGTGTCTCCTGATCCCCGTGTCTCCTGATCCCCGTGTCTCCTGATCCCCGTGTCTCCTGATCCCCGTGTCTCCTGATCCCCGTGTCTCCTGATCCCCGTGTCTCCTGATCCCCGTGTCTCCTGTTCCCCGTGTCTCCTGATCCCCGTGTCTCCTGTTCCCGTGTGTTCCCGTGTCTCCTGTTCCCCGTGTCTCCTGTTCCCCGTGTCTCCTGTTCCCCGTGTCTCCTGATCCCCGTGTCTCCTGTTCCCCGTGTCTCCTGTTCCCGTGTCTCTGTTCCCGTGTCTCCTGTTCCCCGTGTCTCCTGTTCCCCGTGTCTCCTGTTCCCCGTGTCTCCTGTTCCCCGTGTCTCCTGTTCCCCGTGTCTCCTGTTCCCGTGTCTCCTGTTCCCCGTGTCTCCTGTTCCCCGTGTCTCCTGTTCCCCGTGTCTCCTGTTCCCCGTGTCTCCTGATCCCGTGTCTCCTGTTCCCCGTGTCTCCTGTTCCCCGTGTCTCCTGATCCCCGTGTCTCCTGTTCCCCCCGTGTCTCCTGATCCCCGTGTCTCCTGTTCCCCGTGTCTGTCCCCGTGTTCCTGTTCCCGTGTCTCCTGATCCGTGAGATCACAAATACTACATTACATTCACCAATTACTCCGCATACCATTCATTACAAACCACCTGCAGGCAGGCTTTGCAGGAGTCAACTGACATTTTGTTTTTTTACAGTGCTCTGTAGGCTGCAATGCTCTGCAGGTTGCAGTGATCTATGGGCCGCAATGCTCTGCAGGCTTAGTAATCTATGGGCCGCAATGCTCTGTAGGCTGCAATGCTCTGAAGGGTGCAATGCTCTGCAGGTTACAGTGATCTATGGGCTGCAATGCTCTGCAGGTTGCAGTGATCTATGGGCTGCAATGCTCTGCAGGTTACAGTAATCTATGGGCCGATGCTCTATAGGCTGCAATGCTCTGAAGGGTGCAATGCTCTGCAGGTTACAGTGATCTATGGGCTGCAATGCTCTGCTGCAATGCAGGGTGCAATGCACTGCAGGTTACAGTGATCTATGGGCTGCAATGCTCTGCAGGTTGCAGTGATCTATGGGCTGCAATGCTCTGCAGGTTACAGTGATCTATGGGCTGCAATGCTCTGCAGGTTGCAGTGATCTATGGGCTGCAATGCTCTGCAGGTTACAGTGATCTATGGGCTGCAATGCTCTGCAGGTTACAGTGATCTATGGGCCGCAATGCTCTGCAGGTTACAGTGATCTATGGGCTGCAATGCTCTGCAGGTTACAGTGATCTATGGGCTGCAATGCTCTGCAGGTTGCAGTGATCTATGGGCTGCAATGCTCTGCAGGTTACAGTGATCTATGGGCTGCAATGCTCTGCAGGTTACAGTGATCTATGGGCCGCAATGCTCTGCAGGAAATGTTCGCAAGGGTGTGCGTGTGCGTTGCGTTCACCGTGAAGCCAATGGTCCAGCCCCCCACCGCCCGCCTCCCCCATACAGAGATCCCGGAGCCCCCCGGCAGACGGGGATGTCGGAGTTCTTACTGTGCGGGAAATCCTCGGAGGAATTCATGGATCTCGGCTATCGGCGTTCCATGGATCCCAGACCAGTCCCCATCCACAGCAGGCCAGTCCCTGGAACAGAGAGAAGACGGGGGTCACCAATACCGACATGACAGCAACGGAGGAATCTGATTGGTTGGTCCGGACAACAGACGCCTCTGGTTCAATAATCATGTTCAGTACCCGCACAGCCCTCCCTCCAATCA